TGTCTTCATCTCCCATATTTACAACCTTTTTACTATTGTGCTCCTTGGCTCAACTCTCAGATGGGAATGTGTGGAGCCTGCAAGACTCTTTGCCTTTAATGGAAATGTACTGAGTTGCTCTCTCCTGCTTGCTGCATATGTGTGGAGACACAGGGGACTCAATTAATATCCATGTCTCCTCCCCACTCTTCTCTCTTTGCACTTCAGAAAACAATCAAATACTGAAGTGTAAACATGCGGATTTAAAAAGATACTTTAAAATGATGTTGAAAAATTGGAAAGGATTTAGAAGAGCTACAAGAATGATCGGATGCCTGGAAAATCTGTCTTACAGTTAAAGCCGACCTGAAAATGGTTTTCCTGTCCTGTGGAAACTTTTGAGATTTCAAAAAATTTTACCCATCCTGAATCAGGACAAAAGGTCAAAATATTAAAAAATTTTAGAAACTGAAAATAAAAAAAAATCAATTTGGGTCAATTGAAGTGTCTAGTTTCAATAATTTTGCAATGTTTCATTTCTATTACAAGTTTTTAACTTTTTTTTTTCTTCCATTATTTTAGTTTTCTAAACCTAAAATTATTTTGAACTGGTAAGCCAGAATTTGTCATGCTGGCAATTTTAAAACTTTATATACAAAACATTTTGAGTACCGATTTGTGGAAACCGATCCTTTCCCATGAAAAGTTTTGGTTTTGACAAATCCACATATTTGATCTGCAAAAATAGTATGATCAAAAATTTTCCAACCATATCTACTGACAGTGAGAGACTAAAAAAATCTCAATCTATTTATCTTAACAAAGAGAATGTATTTACATGGGCAGAATATTTCTGACAGTAGATGGCTCCTTAATCTAGCAAAGTCATAACAAGATCCCATGGTTGGCAGCTGAAGTTTGACCAGTTCAGACTAGAAATAAGGTGCAAATGTTTAACAGTGAGAGTAATTAACCATAGGAGCAATTTACCTAGGAATGTGGTGGATTCTCCATCATTCCAAGTCTTTAAATCAAGCCTAGATGTTTTTCTACAATAGATGTTCTAGCTCAGTCAGAAGTTATGGTCTTAATGCAGAAATTGCTGTGTGAAATTCTATGGCCTGTGCTACCCATGAGGTCAGATTAGATGATCATAATGGTCTTTTCTGCTTTACAATCTACTAATCTGATGAGATGCTGTCAAGTAATTTAACTGTTGCGCTCTGTTTCTTACCGCCAGAAAAAGTTGCGCTTTGACATATTGTGAACAAGCAGTAGAGAGTTCACAGTATCTCTTAAGAAGAACATACTTTGGTTTAATATTTGCAGTGGTGTAAGATTATTTCCAGAGATCATCTACAGAACTTTGTTGTCAACAGAAAGTCAACTCTTGACTGAAAGTTAATTTTTAATAGTCAATACTTAAAGGCCCGTTACCAGATACTAGAGCTGGGAGAATAATTCATATGAAAAGTCTGAATGAGTGGTTTTTAAAACCAGTTCATTTTGGCCACATTTGTGTTCCTTTTGTGTTTACTTTCCTCATACTTCGAATAAATCTGGTTTACTAGCCTAAATGTTCACAAAAAGTGAATTTCAGAGACAGATTTCAGTGCCAGCAGTGCTTATGTGCTCGTACAGTCAGGGAACAGAAACAGCACGATCTCACTTATTTGACCAATAACAGTCAAATAACAAAGTTTGATGTTTGAATATTTGCGATCAATCCATAGTGTGAACAAAAATTCAAAAGGATATTATTTGAATGAATCTGAATAATGAATACATTTAGGGAAATTGCAGCTCGCTCACTGATATTCAATTCCATAAGCAGAACAAGGGGCTTGACAAATGATTCCTTCTGCTCAAACCGTTCCCTAAACCAATGCATTTCATTTCCCACACAAAAGAGAGGACAGGAGGGCTTTACAAAAACTGTGGTCAAGGCTTTCAAAAATACGTCAAGATTTTGGAGGCTCTCAGATTAAAGTTGAGATGCCTTAAGGAGGCTACATTTTTCAGTGTGGTGAACAATCACTCTTTGAAAATTGCTGCCTTGTCCCCCTCAAATTCACTGCTCACTTTTGGAAATCTTGGCCATGAATAGAAATATTTTCATGACCTTTAATTAGAATTCAGTGAAAGCAGAGGCTTTGGGGATTTAAAGACTCAGGTGTTGTTAATAATAGAGTTAGGGGATGTGCTTTGAATGTATAATCTATAGGGTGACAACATCCCCTTTTTATCCTT